AGCGAGGAGCTGCCCGCGCACCCATCCACAGTGGGGCTCAGGCCAGCCCCCCAGCAGCCCCAGGCACTTGTGCTGGGGGGCAGATAAAGCATCTCTTCAGTAGAAAAGAAGAAAATAAGGCAGAAGAAGGACAGAGCAGAGTGTAGGGGGTGCCCCATGCCGGGCTGGGGGCCTCCCCCAGTCTGACCCAGTAGGACCATTTGGCTGTGGCCAGCCCCGTGCAGCAGCGGGCCCCCCCCTGGCTAGGCAATAAGGTCTTGGTGTTTCCCATCCCCACCCTCTCCCGCAGCGCCGCTCTCCATCCCGGCAGCGCAGCGGGTCCTATCCCCCTACCCCAATCCCCAGCGTCACCGGGGCCAGTCCATGGCGGGTGGGGCCCAGGGCTAGAACTCAGTCTGCACCCCCTCGCCGCTCTCCGTCGTGTCTGCGGGCTGCGGGGGGCTGCACTCGCCGCCCGGAGGGGCCACCTCCTCGCCCGTCTCCTTGTCACTGGACTGGTGGCAAGCCATCCCGGCAGACGGTGATGGGGTCTCGGCTCCAGGAGCGGGTGATGCTGATGTGGCATGGAGCACCCTGGCCTCTGATGGGACATCAGCTCTGGGCACGGGTGATGCCGGCACAGCTTGAGGCATCCTAGCCCCTGATGGGTCATCAGCTCTGGGTTTGGGTGATGCCAGTGCGACGTGTTGCACGCTGGTCCCTGATGGGACATCGGCTCCAGGCATGGGTGATGCCGGTGCGGTGTGGGGCACCCCAGCCCCTGAGGGGACATCAGCTCCGGGCATGGGTGATGCCGGCATGGCATGGTGCACGCCAGCCTTTGATGGTACCTCAGCTCCAGGTGCAGGTGATGCTGGTGCAGCGCAGTGCATCCCATCCCCCTCGCTGGCCGGACCCTGGGGGGATACATCACTTGGGACAGACCCTGCCGCCGCCACCACCTCCTCGGTGGCACCGCTCTCCCGTGTGGCATAGGTACCGTTCGTCAGCCGCTCCTCCGCCTCGACACCATCCCCGAGGCTCTCCTTCGCCAGCACCTCCCGGATCTCCTCCACCCCATCTGGGGAGCTCGGCGGTGCCCCAGGGTCCGGATCCTCCGTCTCCTGCGGCTCCGGGGAGCCAGGCTGCAGCAGCGCCTCGGCGTCCACCTTGTAGGGCAGGACCCCCTCATCGTCTTGGATCACTGACACCACTTGCTTGGCCCTGCGGCGCTTGTCGGCAGCCGGCTCGGCCTCTGGCTGCCCGCTGTACTCCTCGCCCCAGTCGATGGGGATGCCCTCGCCCAGGAGGTGCAGGTTGGGATCGCTGTTGTGCATGACCATGCTGTCGCGGTACAGGTTGTGCTTCCGCTGCACGGCCGCCTCCTTCACAGCTGGGGGCACCGAGAGAGATGTCAGATGGGCTGTGGGCATGGGGCAGCGCCCGCTGCGCTCGGGACACCTCTCCCAGCCCCTGCCTTGGGCAG